TGTCTTCTTTCTCGTCTTGTAGATATGCGAAACTTTAAAGTGGCGTTTGTGTCTAGAGTCGTCTAGGTGATGTCATTTTTTGCCTTTTAAAACATTGTTTTTATATTAAAATACCAATGACACATTTACTAAAGTGATTACCCGCGGTTATACCCGTTACCCGTGGTTATGGTATAGGTAAAAATTACCCGTTGGATAATGGGGCGGTTATGGGGCGGGGGAATTACCAAACGGGGCAGGTACGATTATATGTAAAACCGTCCCCGATCCGCCCCGTTGCCATCCCTAAGTGCAATAGCGATGACGGCGTTAGGCCAATAAAAATGGAAAATAATTTATCTAATGACATATTGACATAATAATATATGGGTACGTAGGTCGTGGCTTTTCATGCTATGTTATACTCCATCCGTCTCACGAAATTCTTCTCATTTACCATTATCGGATGTCCCAAAAAAATTCTTCTCATTTCTTAGATCATTTTGGAAATTTTTGTAAGTCTAATGTTCATTTATCTTTTTCGTACTCAAGCACAAAACCACAGCCATACATTTTCACATTGATCCAAATCAATCTGAGAAGAGTCCTTTAGGTGCGTTAAATGTTTTCCTTAAAAATAATTCTTTTCTTTTCTATCAAATAAAGCCCATTTGGTAACATTGAAATTGACTAGAATGGCTGATTCATGAAAAAAATTATATTTAAAAAACTTTTCGTTAATAAAATAAAGAAAAAATTATATGAAAATAGCTAAAATGTTCATCAACAATAATTTCAGTCTATACGGCTACCTGAAAAAGTAACTCTCACCTTACCTCTTCTTATTATTGTCATTCATCGCGCGAAATCAAAAGTTACGTGTTTAGTGAAAAAGTTAACTGATAAGTCTGATAAGCCAAAAAATAGGGTCATCAAACGTGCTCATAAACTACTCTCATCATTTCATATTTTAGCTCACTCCTCAAGTCCTCATATGATCGAGCGACATCAATAAGAAATTAGCTTTGTTTCAAACAATAATTAACTACGTAGTAAAATTTATGCCATTGATATTTACATTAGTATAGTAAAAATAAAGTCAGAATAAATCATGACTATATAAGTATTGCAAAATATATATATACAATATGTCACAACTTCAATGCGACAAAAGAAAAATATGAGATAAAGATGTGGGAAGAAATTAATATATCCTTGCATTGCGTGAATCCTTATCATGTAGAAAACGGTATAACTCATCAACTCAATAGAACATCACCCTCTTGTTCTCAACTTATTTAGCGTGAATCCTTATTGACAGTCCCAAACGTTGTTCTCGGTGGTTGAGAAGAATTTGATATGAAAGATTAGCTGACTTTATGGCTGAAGTGTACTAATTTGTCATATTCTTTGGCTGGCCAGCATGTTATGAATTGAGATTTGAAGCTTACAACTTCTAAATCAGAGATAATGGAGTGTTTAAGAAGCGTATAATAACGGCTTAGATATTAAGAGAATTTAGGGGAGGTGCCGAGGTAGTCATCATTTATGGTGTGGCTCAATATTATTGAGAGAAATCTTGTCCTCCATCATTTTACTTAATTTTACTCGTTGTTTGAAATCAATACCGACGAAGCTGACTTTAATTATCAAATACGAGTTTTCTTTCTTGCAGGATTTGGAGGGTTAATAAAAATTTTGATTTTCCTTCTAACGATTTTGTAGAATGATTCATATACTCCAGGACTATGAGAGTGCAAACCCTAAACAAGTGCATTAAGCAGAACACATGGCAGAAAAAATGGCGCTTAACATTCAAAATGCAAAATTTATTATTTTCAATTCCATGTGATACACGTGCTTATATTCCCAATTGCATGTAAATGAGCATATAATGACTAAAATTACTTCTTCTTCTAAGTGTTGTCAATGTAAAACTATATCTTTACCACATAGATGAATTGAAATATGATGTCTCGATTTAGCTAGTGACGTAGCCAGAAGATAATAATTAGATAAGAATTGATGAGTTGGTACAAAGAATAAATATAAAAATTACACATAAAATAGTGATTTTTTCAAATTTGCCACCCTCAAATTAAGCCCATGCCTCTCCAGAGAAAGAAAGCATGCAAATTGCAAATGGTGTAAAAACTAAATTAGCCAACGGTATCAATCCAACCGCACGTATTGGCCTATTGGGTCTTTGCGCTTGGGCTGTGCATATGGCCTAGTTCATGTCGTTGGATTGTATTAGAGAATTTCTATTCACAGCCATTATTTTACTAAATACAGCCACTTAAATAAATAATACTAAATAAAAATAACTAAATTATCTAATATACCCTTACTCTAAATAACGATCGTTAAGCAAAGGCGTTAACCTCTCGACCTCCTCTCCTTACCTTGATCGCACTCCTCTCTTTAGCCTTGATCGCACAAAACGCAGGTCAGCACACACACAGAAACTCTCAAGCGCATAAGACCTGAGAAGGAAGAAAGCCAGAAACACAAGAAAGTCCAAGAATCCTTGGATAGTATATACGGAGTATGATTTACTTATGTCATTCTGTTATTTTTATAATGCAAATATGCTAATTCTGCTTCTAGTTGTGTGTTTATTACTTTATTATCAATGAGTTTTGCCCCAACCAAGTTCTCTTCTACGGGATCGTAGAACGAAGAAAGGTAAATGGCTTTCAAAAGTCCTTTTTGCTATAATATCACTCCAATTCAAAGTTAATGCAAGAGAAACAAACTGTGCAGTATTATATATACAACGCAGGTGACTTAGGAATGTCACTGCTATCATAAAAGATTATATTTTCAGAAAATTTATAATCGGGAATTGTCATAAAATTTAAACCGGGAATCGTCATAAAAATTAAGTTATGACATAGTAGTCATATATACTTGTTTTGCTTTCAAGCAGTATGGTGTTGAAGAAATATGACCCTCAGATTCAAAATGAAAGGGACCAATGAGACACATTTGTTAAGCCTGACCCCACAGGCCTTTTTGCTATCACACGAACTCGTGTATTTGATCAACAGGCCAACATGGGATAAAAATGGATTGGCCAAATTCTAGCACAGTATATACGAAGAGCAGAAGATTTAGGTAATGCCTGCAATGTCCATCCATGTGGACAAAAACTTATCATGACAGTTTTGGAATTTTATCTCATGTGTATTACTTAAGTCAAAGGGTGTCCTTCAATTGGTTCAACTGTTTTCTAAGGGTGTCCTTAATTCATTAACTAAATCTATTGTAGTTAAATCATCCATAAATTACACTAACAACAATATTCTACTGAATTAGTTGTTATAGTTGTTATCTAAATCTATAACAACTAAGGATGATGATGAATTACACCCTTAGAAAACAGTTGAATATATGCTAAATTAGTTGTATCTTAATGAGTTCTTCTCCAAAACTAAAAATGTAGAACATGGAGCACATGGTTTTCCATGCACAAGTAAAGGATGATGATGAACAAGAAATTGATGAATTTCAGGTAAACCATTTTAATGATGACAATTCATGTTAATTTGATATCACTCTAATCGAGTTCTTTATGCAAAACAGAATTTTAGTGGTGAAGATATGCTAGATTCAAGCAATGCCTTTGGAGCATTTCATACTGATAAAGTGAGTAAAAGTTCTAGTTTTGTGTAACCAAGGAAATTAAGAACATGTATACGAAAGGAATTCTAAGGAATTTATATGACAGGTGTTTACAAGTAAAGATGAATTGCTTACATGGGCCAAAGAAACCGGGATAAATCTAGGTTATGTTATTGTGATTAGTTCTTCTTCAGCTAAAAACGGTGTAAAAGAGGCCAGACTGCGTCTTGGTTGTGAGCGTGGAGGAGCTTATAGGAATCCTAAGAAAGCAAAAAACAAAGAAGCATTATCTCGTAAGAGGACAGGAACAAAAAAAAAACGGTTGTCTATTTTTGTTGCAAGGCGTAAAATTAGAAAAAGATGACGATTGGTCTATAAAAGTTCTTTGCGACCTTCATAACCATCCTCCTGCTGCACAACTTGAAGGCCACTCTTTTACTGGAAGATTAAGTAAAGATGAAGAGACTATACTGTTAGATATGACGAAGAATATGGTAAAACCGAGAAACATACTAATGACAATAAAAGAGAAGAACGAGAAAAATACTACCATGATGAAGACAATATATAATGTTCGTCAAAAACATAGAAGGATTGAGAGAGGTGGAATATCACAAATGCAACAACTTATGAAAAGATGAAATGATTATAAGTATGTAGAATGGCATAGGAGGAATGAGTCAACTAATTGTTTGACTGACTTGTTTTGGGCACATCCTGCTTCTATTAATATTTTACATGCCTTTCCGTTGGTGTTGCTTATGGACTGTACCTACAAAACCAATCGATATGGCTTTCCATTACTAGAGATAGTTGGTGTGACATGTACAGATCTTACATTTTCTATAGCATCCGTGTACATGGAGGCTGAGCGTGAAGAAAACTACATATGGGCAATGGAGAAGCTAAAAACATTGATGCCGTCAAATATTGTGCCTAATGTAATTGTCACCGACAGAGACTTAGCGTTGATGAAATCTATTAAGACAGTATTCCCTGAAACAAAAAATCTTCTCTGCAGATTTCATATCACAAAAAATTGTTTAAATGCAAAGATGAGTGTGACGATTTCATGGCAGCTTGGAGTGTCTTGATATTTTCTTCAGCTGAAAAGGAGTACGCTAAAAACTTAGATTCTATTGAAAGTGACTACTAGATGCATCTTAGTCTCATTCAATATGTAAGAGATACATGGTTGAATCCATATAAAGAGAGATTTATAGCGGCCTGGACCAATAAAATCATGCATTTTGCCAATTTGACAACAAATAGGTATGATGTTCAAATTTAATCTGTTTTTCATTATTTATGAATTTACTAAATTTCAAACAAAAATTGAAATTTTCTTTACCTTTTGCAGAGCTGAGAGTGCACATGCAAAGTTGAAGAAATGGCTTGGCTCCAGTCAGTCAGATTTTGATTGTTCTTGGACAATAATCAATGCTCTAATTGAGTTGCAACACACTGAAATTAGGGCTTCATTTGAGCAAAGTCTAAATGTGGTTGAACACAATTTCAGACCTACATTGTTTAAAGACTTGCGCGGATTAGTATCACGAAAAGCATTGAACTTAAATTTGATCGAGTTTGAAAGAGCAACTACGGTTGGTGTCGACGCCAGTTTATGTGGGTGTGTCATGAGAAGCACACATGGCTTGCCTTGTGCACATAAAATTGCGGAACATGTCAGTTGTGCTCAACCCATTCCAATATTAGATATTAATCCTCATTGGATGAAATTAAACTTGCAAAAACATCAAGAAGGTGAAGCCTCATTTGAAATGAGTATTGATACTGAGATGAGTTGCATATGGACACGATTTCATATGTCTGATCAAGCTGGAAAGCTGACATTGAAGAGGAAGCTAAGAGAATTAGGTGATCCAGCAACGACATTTCTAATACCACCACCTCAAAAAGTTAAGACAAAAGGTCGTCCTTTTGAAGGCAACTTCATCAACTCGGCGTGACCCTTCATATTTTGAAGTTGTTGACTCGAAGTTGCTAAGCGTGACTGTGAATTAAATCAAAAAAGTGTTCCAGTTCGAAAACTAAAGAAGAAAATAGCCAGGAAAAAATCCAAAAGTTTTCTAAAGTATTTGGACTTTTTCCATCATACTTACACCCATATATCTTTGACATAATTGATGTCAAGCCGGATGGACATTGCGGTTTTCGTGCTATTTCTTCTCTACTAGGTTTTGGAGAAGACAAGTGGGCCACAGTTCGTGAAGAGTTGATTGAAGAGTTGTGCAATTATCGATGTTATTATGTTAAGTTGTATGAGTCCGCTGAAAATGTTGTTGAATTACTTGAAGAATTGTCTTATTTCAAAGCTCCAGCACCGTATAAGAATTGGATGACTCTACCCGCCATGGGTCATTTGATTGCTTCTGAATATAATGTGGTCTTGATCTACCTTTCTAAGCCGGTGTGTGTGACATTTCTTCCTCTTCTATCTAATCCACCCATAGACCAACACCATAAGGTATTAGTGTTGGGATTTGTAAATGGCAATCACTTTGTTCAGGTACTTACATTACTTATTACTTTATATTCTAATATTTGCTATGCACATTTTGGCATTGTATATTGAATGTATTAATTTAAATAATATTATATACTGACAATGTATATATGTATTGCAGGTTTCCATGGATCCTTATGCGCCAATTGGAAACATTTTAGATTTGACACCGCAATGGGGTGGGAGACCCCATACTTAGATCGTATTAAGGAATTTAATGCCATACTTTCAGCCCATGTGGGTGATTGAACTAAGGAAGTTATTAACATTGAAGAAAATATATAGGTAGATCGCACAATATTCTGTTGAATTACTTGTATTGGTCATTACGAAATTTGACGTATTAGTTTTGTTTTTATTTAATCCTGTCAAATCTATACTTTGCTTCTTTTTGACATGTTTTTTTACTTATTAGAAAAATTTGCACTTGTTATTGTAGGAGTTGTCAGATTCAGCACAGTTTTGATCAATGTTGAAGTAGTGGGAGAAGAAAGGCCTCACTCACATTCATTGCAGCAGTTGGAGTTTTTTATTACTTTGTAGTCATTAGCTTTTAAGCAATTTTTTAAATAAGGGTCAGTTAGTTCGATGGAGAAACTTATTTGATAAGCTCTAACTAATTCATTAAGTTTTTTAAGTACGTTGGATTTCAGAAAAAGTACTTGAGCTTCCATGTGTATGTTACCTAATTATTTTATCAGCTAAATGTCAAGCAATATGTAAATATCATGTGAAATAGGGTATATACGTAACTTTCAAATCAGTTAGTAGACCAATGAAAAGCATATCAGGATCTGTCTAATTCATACATTCATTTTACTATGCAACAAAATGAAAGTAACACACTTCGAGTCACAAAGTAACTCATGCAAACGCTGTCGTATACTAGTAATTTTTTTCATGATAAGAACATTTAAGGGTAAGAACTTACCTCCAAAAATCTTAGTATCAGAAATAATGGTGTCACATGGATATGCAATTGCAAAGGATCCCACAATATAGAGGCTTTCCCATCATGGGTCACCTTTTTAACAACTGAGGACCAGGAAGAAGGTATAGGAGGAAGCAAAGCACCGGAACTTAGCCTTTGTTTGTCCTCTTCTTGTGGCGGTAAGAGTGGCTTTTGAAGTGTGAGCAAGATCTCAGGAGTGTGTCTCTTTGTAAGTGTTGAGGATACAAAAGAATTGCTCAAACTCACTACCTAATAAAAGAAATGTCAGTTATTAGTCTCCGGGTGTTTATAAACCTAACATGTTTCATGAACCAAAAAATGAATGAATCCTTCTTTTTTTTAAATAATCTAAAATAAATTATTTAGTTTTGGATATATCTTCTATTTCACACTAAATTGTATTTTCTTCCAATTATCTTCTCTAGTTTCCTTCCTACGGTTATGTTTATGGGATGGCTCGCCTGATGAAAAATTGAGGTATTTTTTGCATGAACTGGTTAGCCTCTCGTATCCTTATTATGAATGCAAAGCTATCTTTTGGTAGCAGAGATTACAGAATTCATGATAGCTTAAACAAGGAAAGCAAGATGACAACAGATAATGTCAAATAAAATAACAAAGGAAATCAAACTAAGCAGAACTCAGGCAATCTTCTGGCTATTTGTCCTTTTTTTCTCAGTCAATCCTATTGAGTGTTCCTAAAAATGGCATTACTCTCATCAAGGAAAGCCAAAGTTTGTGGTTTTGTTTTCCAGGCATAGGGTCATGAGCTACACCGATGGCTTCATCAAGAGACAGGATGAGTGAAAACATACGAAGACAATAAGCAGGAAACTGATGAGCAAAAAAAAGGAGATTCTACAAGTTTGGGAGCTTGAGCTATGAACGACAAAATTCAAATTTGTTCAAAAATGCCATCTTTGACCCTCCACATGCCCCAATATTTAATATACTCATCCAGACCTTAAAGTTCATGTCTAATTATGTTCTGCATTCACATGAGATCTATTTTATTTGAAAACAAATCAAAAAAATCAGAACAAGAACAAAGTCAAGATGGAGTATCCTAAATGAGTAACACTTACCATTTGAGATGAAGCAAATTCAAGGGCCCTCGAGTTCAACGAACTCAGCTCGTGCTGCAAATTTCAGGGCCCTCCAGGAATCAAATGAACATCGAAGGCGAATGGGATAGAAGTATGCATGGAATTGTGTCGTCACTCTACTACAGACCACCGTTTCATTTTCGTGCCGGATGAAATGGAATTCGAACCTGCTCTCCCTTACTTAGCTCTGCTCTCTGTGCGTATAGAATGAGAACCGACTCGACTTGCTAATTGATCCATGGAATCCTCCTGTCTCCTTCTCGTGCGTCGTTCCATTTCCGCTAGCTGGCTGGAGGAGTAAATATCAGACATCATCATCCGTGTGTAGTTAGGATATGTGGTTGTGTGTTGTTAGATGGAGGTCGTCGACCCACAATCCGGTTCGATTCTCCCCTTTTTGGAAAGTTCGGACACGAACAGACTTTTTAGCGACGTTAACTTTTGAACTCTCGAGCGACGTTAACTTAAAGGGCATAAATGGGTTTATGAAGCAAACGGAAATGGGGTGTGTGTGTTTAGTAAAAACGGGAGTGTAAATAGAATTCCCCATTGTATTATCAGCGTCACAACTATAGATATTGTTAAATTCAGGCCCAACAACTATAAAAACATCTGATGCATTTGTTTGATTGTGAATTGAAGATTCATACCGGTGGGCGTAGCTCAACTGGTAGCAAGGGAGTGCCACAAGGGTTATATCCCGGGTTCGAATCCCGGCAACTGCGATGAGGGGTTACTATGCTAAAAATGCATGGGGCCTCTGCAAGTACCGGGGACAGAGCCCCACTCTCTATCTGTCAGATTGGGATTATAGTCCAATTTACATCCTCTCAACGTACCGTCTGATCGGGGTTAGGGGGCCCTCAGGGATGGGGTGTCATCTTTTTTTGTGAATTGAAGATTCACGGATAATTGAAGCTGCGGGACCAATAAAATTGTCTTGATGTAATCAAAGTGAGTCATAATTGCTATAAACTCATTCATCTATTATATATTTCTTCTATTTTTAAAAAGTTGCAACATTGAAATTTTTGCTCTATTCTTAAATAAATGCAAACCTATGAAATGTTAGGTTCTGGATCGATAGTTTTTCATCATTTGGGTCCTATACCGATACATTTCATCTTTCAGGTTCCGAATTAATAATTCTGTATCTTTCAATCTCCGGATTGATAATATTTCTTCTTCTTATTATTAATTATAATTATATAAGAAGGTGGTTATATGTCATGCCGGCTCATATGTCACTAATATTCCCTATACTATACATGGCATGACTTTTTTAGGACTTCACTAAAAACACCTATGACTATTGAAAACTTTGTGTTACATAGGTTGCAGGTGATGTGCAAGAGAGATATACCTTTTGAAATAAACTTATTATACTCTGATCATCTTATAAAAAGATTAGAAGTGTGACATATATTTGTCTAATAAAAAATTAAAAATAGAGTTTTGCTCTATTTTTTCTTAAACAACATAAGAAAATAATGTCAACAAATGAAAGTTGTAGTTATACGTATACTCTACCAAAGAAGTGTCTTGATTGTGCCATTCGTGCGTAGAGTGACAAACGCGATTTTTAGTCGAGAGGATCTATTTCGCGGCCCGCGGGATACTTTTTCTTTTGAACAATTAAATCTTTAATTCTCATTACTAACGATATAATCATGGATATGGTGGGTACTATTCGTTGAATGGGCTTGAATTGCTGCTATCAGATACGCCTAATCCTAGATGGTAATAATTTGTAGTGTAAAAGAGTAGTGGAGTGGATGGAATAAAATTTGCGACACCGTGAAATTGATATATACTTTTTGACATAATGGGAGACAATCATGAATAATGATCCGTAACACATATATTCAGGGTCGTCTTTTAGGAGGTGCAATAGGTGCTTGACATCGGAGCCCACTCAAGTATGGGGCCTCCAAAAATTTAGAATGTAATATTAGTTTGCAATCATAAATAAGGCCTTATTTGACCTTTTTTTGTTAGTACGTGGCCTTATTTGTCCCTTTTCCCAAATTTTATTCAAGTACTACACTTTTTGTGTTAATATTAATTTGCAATTCTTATATATTAGAAAGATGTTAGATTTAGAGTCCATTTAGTAACACCGAGATTAGCTTAATCTGCTGAAGTTCTGACTAAATCATTTGATTCATCTAAAACACTGGGATTATCCATTATCCTTATTTTAGTCATTTATATGTCATTACATCACATGATAATGTAAAGACAAATGAGAAGTTGAAGGGAAGAAAAATATGTGGCAAATATTTGAGATCTTTTTATAATAAATCTCTTACTCTTGGTGAATATGGGTCTCATTTGAGAGAATTCAACTAAGAAATTTGTGGAGAGAAACTATGAAAAATTCTGGTTGAAGATTTCTAGGAAATTTTAGTGATAAGAATTTTGAGTAGTTTTGATAAAGTAAAGGGAGAATCGTAGAGTGAAATTTCAGACCCGTGTTTATGTGATTGTAAATGTCACCTCCGAATTGACAGATGTGTTGTAAATATCATATCCGGTGAAGATAGTCTAGAATTGGAGATGGAGCCTATAACCGCAGATTGAGCCAATTAAACGACCCTTTTTAAAAATCAAACTACTTGAGAACTAGGGGTCCTAAGAAAAACTTAATACATTCAAGAATATTTGAAGAACAAAAAATTGAAAATTAGAATCTCAGAGATGAATATTTGAATATTTTTTTGCACAATATATACAACACATAGTTTTCATAGGCTAAGCAGTTTATAATTTTTTTTAAAAGAATATTTTTTTAAAAAATAAAAACTTAAAAATAAACAAAAAATAGATAAAACACCTCTAAAAACATAACAAATTTATGGAGGCCTTTCCCACAATGTTGCCCACTTCCCAGCCAAGTTTCCCATGATCGGCTAAAAAAATGCCATTTTGTGAAAAAACTGCAATTTGTTCTCTTAAAAATACGATGAATATGGTATTTCTACTTTTTGAAAATGTCAAAATTTTCTCGAAAACTGTCATTAAGATGGTATTTTTGTCAAATGTTGGCATTTTTTCAGTGATCGGAGCTAATGGTGCTGGGAGGTTGCTGAGGTGGCAGCATAGGCCTCCATTTTTTAATCTTTTTTCATTTTTTATTTATTTTATTTTAATTTTTTAATTTTTTTAATTTCAAATTTTTATTTTTCAATTTTTTTATTTTTAATAATTTTATTCAATGATTATTTCGTGTTTTTAAGTTTTTTTACATTTTTGTTATAAATAAAGTTATGTTATACCTTTTATATGTTAATTATTAATGAAATATGAATTGTATTACAACAAAGCAAGGGTAGAATGGGAAAGGTAGTGCTATTTAGGTAATTTTTAAGTAGTGATCCTATTTTGGCAATTAAAGTTTCATTTAGTCCTCTATGAGGAATTCTACCTTTTTTTATCCTAATCGGTGCATTTACACGTGACGTTTTTTTAGGTGTATGTGATTATGATTGTATTATATACGTAGTATAATAAAGA